ATATATACATATATATATATATATATATATGTTTGTGTGTGTGTGAAAAAGGAAAACTTAAAGGCTTAATCACATATTCGGGTAAGAGTTAGGAGTTAAAAGATTGGTTTAGAAAATAGGGAGATGGATATGGAGAACACACAAGATTCTTCCAGCCAACGGTACCTCATCGACATCATCTATTTGCTAGGATGGTTAAGTACTCTTTGATTCCTTAATAATCACCAAATTATTTGAATAATCAAATTATATATGAGATAATAAATTTAAACAGGAAAAAAACTCTCGAAAGTAGAGTTCGATTACTATATAAATATTCTATCTATATAACTAAGAAGTATCCAAACCATATCAATCTCAGGTTTATTATTTTATATATTTGTATTTAATATTTCAAGATCATTCTTTTAAGGCATGAGAGAAGCCTTCTAATACTGTACTAAAGTTCATTGCTTTAAAGTTTTTGGATGCAGCACCATCTGTCTCAGCACAATAGGACAATTCACAGTTTGGTGACCACATCAAGGGTCACTGGCCGGTTAGAGTGGTAAGTATTTAGAAATTTTAATTAGATTCAAATTAATTGTAGAAACTTTAATTAAATTCTAGCTTCTTGTAGGATTAGAATTTGAATTAAGAATCCAAATAAAAATATGAGTCTTTAGTAAATTATGATTTATTCCGATCTATATAGCGTAGTTCATGGTCCTTACTAAAGCAAAAACATTATATATCACTTGGTTTTGCTGAAAGGAAAAGATAATTCTTTGGATACTCTTGGATATTCTAATGAATCTAGAGAGGTTGAAGAGATGTCTTCTCGAGCTTGAGTTTGCATTAACTCAAGATATAACCTAATCTCATATTGGTAAAAAATTTATGTTTTTTCATGAACATAGACAAATATCGAATCATGTTAATTTTGCCATCGACTTTACTAGTGTTGAGAGAGGATCATGTCAAAATCTTTCTTATCAGCATTCCCTACTGAAAGCAAAATGATCATTCGATTGGTACTGAGATCACTGCAAAGCTTAAATCCAAATGGTGCAAGGACCAGCTTTGCTTGGTAAGGGTGGGGTGATAAGGACTTCAACATTGATCATCAACAACACCATCAAAACTGAGTTCACCTCTCTTCTGTAAAAGCTTATCATCAGCATCCTTTATAAGTGTGGGATCTTTCTAATGGCTGTCTCAATCGCCTGTCAGGCACAATATTATGTGGAGAACGGTAGTTTTTCCTACCATTGATTTCCTGCAAGCCTCCTTAGTCCTCAGGGAATGAAATATATGGCTAACCTCCCTAGTTGTTAGGGAATGAAATATATGTCTAACCTCCTTAGTTGTTAGGGAATGAAATCTATCATTAGCCATGTTGGGAAGAGAAGACCTTTAAACTAAAAGAAAGATTTTAAGAATTAAAAAATAAAATATACTAGAAAAACTGATACTAGATTTACTTTTTGCCTACATTCATGCAAAAATACTAAATTTTTTTCACTGTACAATATCAATTCCAAATACTCTTTAGTTTACCCATATCCAAACCCAGGTTACATCACTTATACATCTACTTCTCAACCCTCTCTAACTCCACTAGTAAATACTACATGAGCATCCAAAGTGTCTTTCTTTATGCCCCTCTCTCGTATCATCTAGATTGTCTTGAGATACATGGCATATTTATAACAATAAGACATAATTTATTAAATATTTATCTTGAAATACACCATAGCAACTAATAAAGAAACAAAATATATACATGAAAACTTAAGAAAAATAACTTGGTAATGATGCTAATGAAGAAAATACTTATAAAGAAAAATATTTACATGACATTTATCTTGAAATGGACCATACTAACTAATGAAGAAATGAAATATATATATGGAAAATAAAGAAAAATAAATTGCTAATGATGCTTACAAGACACAACATTTAAACTTGATGAAATAGCAGCAATCAGCTGGGGTGGGGAGACTTGCCAAGGAGAGGTTTCTGCAATTTCTGCCCCCCCAAGAATATAGAAGATTTGCAGATACTAAATTTCTTGAAGCATACTTGAGACCAACACCGAAGAAGACAACTAATCCTTCTCGATAAGATTGACATCAATCAACTTCAAAGAGCCATGGGCAAAGAGAAAGAATGCTTAGCTTGGAAGCATGCCAGAATCAGTAAAGCCAGGAAGATAGTGGCTTATGTCCTCAACTGTTATAAATCTCACCAAGAAGATACGCGTAATTGGAAAGTTGATTCCTCATTAGTCAAATGTGATGCAATACAACAGCTCTGATTGGCATCAATCAACTTCAGATGAGCCAGCAGCAAATAGGAAGAATGCTTAGCTTGAAAGATTCAGTAAAGCCAGGAAGATATGTGTAAGCATGTAAATTGATTCCTAATTATCTGTGATGCGATGCAACAGCTCAACAGAACCTGTGTCATGACAAGACATCTCATATACCACAAAAAGATTAATTCCATTTTTAAGCACATAACTCTAACCTAAGACGAGAAACCACATAAAATTATGTATGGGACACAAATCTAAGATGAGAAATGAAGATCCAGATGGCATACACAATCTGTTTTCTGTGTCGCTGTCAATCCAGTGGATCATCCTATGATGTAGTTAGGGATGTAGCACTTTGGTGTCAGCCTCAGTAAGCAAATAACTAAATACCATCCAATATAATTTTTTCTTTGTAGTATAGACAGCAGATATGAGTGAGTAATCTGAATGTAGTAGAGTGATCTGCAAAAAGACAACTAAAACAAGAAGCCTTGTGTAGTAGGTAGAAGATGATCATATTGCATAAGCCTTATGTAGTAGGTGGAAGAAGCCTTACGTGAAGTAGTCTGCCTAACACAAAAAGAGCCACAGAATACAATGATGATTACATAGTACAGTGAATTTATAATTGTGGCAAATTTCTTTAGGTCAACATATGGTAAATCGAGTTTCAACAAATGGTAGGACTTTCTAAATAACACAATAATTAATGTAGGGAAATATTGCAGCTTATTTCTTATGGTCAGAACACAGTCAAATTTGTCCAATTTGGACAGCCAACCAGTTCTATACTAACTCTTAATAAAAAATGAGTGAACTTGAAGAATTACACATTAAATTTCGAAAAACAAATTTGAATATTAATTTACTCTATAACAATCTGATGTGATTCACAAAAGCCAAAAGAATTCATTTTCATGAACATGTTACTATATATATATATATATATATACATACATATATATATATATACATACATATATATATATATACATACATATATATATATATACATACATATATATATATATGAATAAAATAAGTTTATGTAGAGACTCTGATGAACCTGTAGATTTGACTAATTTACAGAAAGACGCATCAGCAGTATGGTAAAAGCAAGTACATGAGCAATAAGCATGACTCGGAACATTCCACCAAAGGTAACTAGAGAAAAATGACTGTATTAACCAGTTAAATAAGGTGAAAATTGTACCTGATATAAGTGACAATGGCAAGCCAAGATTTCCTTGTTGTGCACAAGCATTTTTGCACTGGTTGACGTATTGAAAACTAGTGTAGTTATCCAATTTAGCCTCCGCTCATTTCCAACTCCAGCTAACTCCAATTATATTGCAATGACCAGCCATTTGGGATGATGTGTATGACCTAAAGGCCAAATTATTCATACAAAATAACAACAAGGAAAGATTAAAATTTGAGCAATACAAGTGCCAGGGTATCCATCACTGATGTGCTTCATGTGCTCCTTGGAACCAATTTATCATTGTGAAAATATGAACATTGAGCTGATAAATTCACACACCTAAACTGCAAAATCAGATTTTAGTTTCAAGACAAACACAATAGCTGACTAGAAAAGAAAATTCAAATATAGCATCAAAACAAATCATAAGCGAAAAAGCATTTTCGAACACACCAAACAACAATGCAGTGTAACCACAAATTTGTAAGCAACATGAGCTTCTTGAACATTTACACAAAATAGCCAAGTATTGGTTGCAGTTTACAGATTTCTGAAAAAGCGAGAGTTAGATTTGAGTTTATAATCCCATTTCTCACTTGTTTTATGTTTCAAAGGGACAGTGAAACATAAGGCACGCAAGGTCAAAGGCAGAGTTTGACAGAATTTCAATCTATTTTCTGCTAAACAAGCTCCGTAATCTGCCTCGTTCCAGTTGCTCAAGCAACTTCTTTGTGCCTGGAATGTCCATATCGGAGAGCTTCTTGAGATAACCAATTGCACCATGTGAAATCATCATCTTCTTGCACATTTTGCTCGACAACAGAATTAAAAGGCAAGAGACCGCATACTTCTTTGCGGTGTTCTGAGGACAGGGATCAAGCAACTGAACCAGATTTGGCACACTCTTATCATCCTTCTTAACATCCCTACCATTTTGAGGATATGTCATCAAGCTAGCAATTGCTTGTGCCGCAACCTCCCTCGCGCCATTGCTCTTGGCCTCGAGCATCTTCACAAGCAAGGGTATGCAACCAAATTCTCCAACAATTCTTTTGGTTTCTGCTGAGCTGGAGAACTTACAAATGGCAGCCGCGGCTGCCTGCTGTGCCCCCAAAGATCCATCTTTCAGCACATGCACAAGGCAAGGAAGCAAGCCAAGTGAGATCAGACTATCCACGGATACAGAACCAACCAGATTCTTCAATGCACCGACTGCTGATTCCTGTGGTAAGGGTCTGTCAAGGTATGTCAGAAGGCTCCGAATCCCTCCTTCGGATACAACCGTCCTCCTCAAGCTCTCATTGCTGCATGTTAAGTGCTGCAAACACTCAGCTGCATACTCCTTCGATCCCAAAACAATGCCGCAATCAAGCAGATTGATCATGACACGAACTATTCCCTCATCCACAAGACTCTGCCTCTCTTCGGGCACAGCAGAAAGGTTGTTAAGCGTGCCAGCAGCAGCCGACTGAGAGATCGAACTGCCGACCTGACAGACTCCGATCAGCGGGCGAATTCCACCATGGCCGGCGATCAAACGAGCAGTGTCAGCGGACAGGGACAGCCTTTGTAGGGAGATGACTGCCTTCTCTCTTGCTACTAAGCTCCCGGATTCCAGAAGACGGATCAGCGGCGGCAGCACTCCTTCGGAAACCAACAGGTTCTCGCAGTTTCCTGATTCGGTAAGCAAGCAAACTGCAGTGGCGGCCTTCTCCCTGAGCTTGGGTGAGGTTGCTGTCAACAGCTGTATGAGGGCGGAGATGTTGCTCCGTCCCAGGACAGCCATCACGCCCTTCTCGTCCTCCCTCATCGCCTCCAATAGCCCATCCAACGCCCGGTGCTTGGCATCGGCGTGCCCGATCAGGATGCGGGCGAGCAGCTCGTGGAAATTCCAGCTGGCGTACTCCGCTTCGCCGGGACGGGCGGAGGCGACCGGAGGGAGGGCCATCTCGCCGAGGACGCCGGTCTTGACGACGAGTCCACAGTCGTGGAGATTGAGATCGAGCTTGCCGGAGAGGGCGTCGAGGTCGCTCTGCATCTTCAACTTGCCGACGGAGGCGCTGACGTCGCCGCGACATCGATCGGCCAATTCGACAGCCTCGGAGACGGTGGCGGCGACGGACTGAAGGAGCTCGCGGCAGAGGGCGTCCCGCGCGAAGCAGGGGTGGCTGGAGAGGTCGGAGAGGCAGGGCGGCACGCGCTCGAGCTTGGAAACGATGGACATCCACCGCCTGGCGAATCCCTTGGCGGACCTGGCCTTCTCGAGGGCGAGGGGGGCGAGGAGGCGGGCGCGGGAGAGCCAGTGGTCCGCCGATTCGGCAGCAAAGGGCACGGCCTCTTCCACCATGAGTCGCTGCTGAAGTTGTTGACCCTTCTGATCTGGGCAAACAACGGAGGAGGCAGTAAGACATCACGACGCCATGTAAATATTCGCCGTAGGAATTGAATTGACGCCACCGCACGTACTTGAGGGGTAATATGGTCACTTCATGTTATCCACGAGGGCCGTGGGACGTCGCTTTACACCCCCGATGTCTCATTCTTCGACGTCGACGGCTGACAGACTTGGGAAAGCGACGAGTCTCGAACCCAATTGACAATAAAGCCCTTACGAGGTTCGAAAACCTTCCGAATGCACCGACTCAATGGGGGACAAATCCGGCACCAAGCACCAAGCCGTCGGAGTCAAAGTCGACGTTCCGCCGGCAGATAGTTCAGCCGAACCATTCGTTGGCGAAGACAAAAACAAGAATTATAACAAGCGGCAGGAGGAAACCGCACATTTCAGTAGAGCGTTTGGTTGTTGTTGATGAGAATGCAGCCCGGTCGCTAAAAAAGGCAGCTTTGGCGGTGTCGGCGGAGACATCTGAGCCCCCCTCCTTGTTCTTCAAGAAAGAGCAAAAAAGGGCGACAAGGAGAGCAGCGAGTACTCCTCTTGAAGCAGAAGCGAGAAAAGAGAGCTCTTCCTCATCAAAGAGGCAGCGGAGGCAGAGGAAACAGAGTGGGAGTGGAAAGGAAGGATGAGACGGATTCGGAATGCCCGCACCAGTGGAGAAGCCTTGATTAAGTGATTTATGGATGCACGTCGGACGGGGCCCGCAGATCGAACGGTTGGAACGGGCTCGATTGGCGATCCGACCGTCGCGATGCTTCAATTTGAAAACGGACCGCAGGCGAGTGGGACCGACATGTGTTGAATCCTTTTGAGGAGTCCTTTTTGAATCGGAAGCTGACGGCTTAGATGTCTCGCGGGAACATGTTTGTGGACCTGTGGCGGGGACCGCGACGGCGAACGAGGGGTGACGGCGATGACGGTGCAAGCCAGAAGGTGCACGATTACGGCTATCGATCCGGGGGTAGACGCGAAGCAAGAGAAAGTCCCACGCGGGTGGCGTAGTGCGCGTGAACCAACGTGACGTGGCATCTTCTTGGAAGTTGACGGCTGGGTGCAGGAGCCCTGATTCACGATAATGCCACTGACATGAAGTGGGTTCTGCTCGGGGTATATTTTTATATAGAGTCAATATACCTCGAATTCTCTTAATATAACTGCTGTTTAATATGATTATTGCTTTTATCAACCGACATTCAACGTATGGAGTTTAAACAAAATCTACTGACGTGCTTATTATCACGATGATTATTCTTCCACTAAATCGATAGTTACAAAATTGACCTCTTCAATTTTTTTTTCATTCTAAACTAATGGTCTTCAACTTGAACTCGTAAGTTATTTGTAAATATTTATTATCTATAATTATATATATATAACTGATTTTATGGTTGGAGACGTGTTGTCGGATACAACCTTGATTTAGTTTTTTACATGAACAGATACCAACAATTTATGTCCTCAAAGTAAAATAAAAAATAAATCATGGATTGTAAATATTTTTCATCTTCCAATTGAATCCAAATACAATATACAAATATTTTCTATTCTTAATAAAATTATTATCCACTCAACTGAGCTTTTTTTAAAATTTAACAAATAAAAATACTAAAAAATTGAGACAAATTGGATCAATTTTATCATGTTGATCACCAAAACTGATAATATCTTGATTTTAGTTTTGGTAATATATGTTGAATTAAGAAATAGGAAGTGAAAAGTATTGATTTTATTCATGGAAAAGATAGATTTTATTTAAATCTCTTTGATGATGAAATTAATTGATAAGGTTATGATATAATATGTGTTTAAGTGACGCAAGACTAACTTCGATCAGAAAAAATAAATCAATTAAAGTAGGAGGAATCGAACGTTGGGTCGGAGTGGAACATGTTAGAATATTGAACGTCGGGTCATAGGATCGATCGATGAATCAGCAAAAGGCTTCATGCCATGAGTTTGGGTATCGACCGAAGGATCGGACATTGCGCCAAGGATATCAAAAGTTACGGGAGTCAACATGTCGATTGGGCAATTCGTCGAAGGAGAGGATGATGCGCTGAAGGATCGGACAAAGCGCTTAATGAACTAATGGCATGATGGATAATATAAGATTCATGCTTATAATTGTGTCTCTAGATCGAGTTAGTTTATGTCTAATTGAGTTGGTATTGGGGTAAAATAATGTTAACTCAATTATGGGCTAATTGAGCCTGAATCAGAGCTAAATTGAGCATGTTATTTGGCTCATTCAGTGTCCTATAATAGGGTTTGGCGATGGTAGCACCCAAACATAATCTTCAAGACTATGTCAGGTAGTGGTATCGCCCAGTGTTAGTATGTCAAGCGATAGTACCGCTAGACTAAGCGGTGGTACCGTCCAATGTCAGTGCTGTAGGCGGTGGTACCACACAACACAGGCGGTGGTACCGCATAACACAAGCGGTGGTACCACTATAACCTAGGAAACTCGGGATAAGATCTTTTTTTGCTCTAATTTTGAAGTCATTTAGATTCTATAAATACCTCAGCTATTCCTGCATGAAGAAGAAAGAATTGAGCATAAAATTAAGTTAAAAAAGGGGAAAGAATACTTGAAAAAATTAGGAAACTCTCTTAAGATCTATGATCACTTCTTCCTAGTACTTAGAAGTTCGTCTAAAGGGAGAAGTGAGATCTAAGAAAGAGAGGCTCGTAAGGGTTGTCTCATAAACCCGTAAAAAGGAGAAAGAGTAGTTGATCTCTGCCCATTGAAAAAAGATCGTTAGTGGATGCCAGTGGCCTCGACGGAAGAGGAATAATAGGAAGTAGATGTAGGTCATGACGACCAAACCACTATAAATCTGATGTGTTCTTTCTTTATTGCTTTCTTCCATTACTTATCTATACTTTACGTTTTATATTTACTCTATATCATTACTTTCATTACTTTCCGATATGGACTTTGACAAAACAATTTTGTCGAACGAAAATTTTCAAATCAACGTAATTTTTATCGTTGCACTAATTCACCCCCCCCCCCCCCCCCCCTCTCACTGCCGACTCGATCCTAACAATTGGTATCAGAGCCATGGTTTTTCTTTTTTGGTTTAACACCTAAGAGAAATGACTCTTTTTGACTTTCAAGAGGGTCACTATATTGTTCATTCTCCTATGTTCAATGGGATAGACTACACATATTGAAAAACTCGAATGAGAGTTTTCTTGCTTTCTATGAATCTCTATCTATGGAATATAGTCACATTTGGTTTTAAGAAGTCTTCCAAACTAATGAATGAATGGAATGATTTGGAAAAGAAGACTTTCTCTTTGAATGCCAAAGCTATGAATGCTTTATTTTGTGCTTTGGATAAAAGTAAATTCAATTGAATTTCTATTTACGAAATGACTTATGAGATTTGGCATACTCTTAAAATCACATACGAATGCATGAATAGAGTTAAAAAGTCTAAAGTCAGTCTTTTGATGTATGTTTTGAATTGTTTCATATGAAACCAAGTAAAACCATTGAAGATATGTATACTCGTTTTGTGGATGTCATCAATGGTTTAAATGCACTTGGTAAAAGTTTTTTGAATATTGAACTTGTGAATAAAGTTTTACGTTCTCTTCCTAAAAACTGAGATTAAAAAGTAATTGTCATATAAGAGGCAAAGAACTTAAACAGTTTTCTACTTAAAGAACTTATTTGTTCATTAATGACCCATGAAATAACGTGCAAGGCACATAATAAACTTAATAAACATGAGAATAACCTTCCGAAGGATTTGACACTTAAAACTTTAGAAGACCACTCGAGCGAAAGCTCAAGTGATAATGATTTTGAACTTTTAACAATAAAACTTAAAAAGTTTATGAATAAAAAATCAAAGAATAAAAACAAACTTAAAAAGAACACAACTACTTGCTATGAATGCAAGAAGCCGGGACACTTTGAAGATCAATATATAAAACTGAAGAAGAAGTTGTTAAAGAAGAAGGAAGCACTCAAGGATAAATCGAGCGCATGTGAAGATGAGGAGCAAATCAACAAAGACAAGGTGGCCTTTCACAATGAGGTATGTAACTCACCCGAAATGTATTTACCTTATTTTGAAATTACTTGATGCATTTCATGAGTTATTTTTAAATTAGTAAAAAAAATTATATATAAATTATTTAAAAAAATTGATTATGAAAATTGTACGTCTTATGATAAAGGAACAAAATTTTAGATTTAAATCTAATGTTTGT